CTCTCTCTCTCTCTCTCTCTCTCTCTCTCTCTCTAGATATATATATATATATGCCAAAAGCCAAAATTTTGTTTTGAACTGGGCTTATTAATGAGATTTCTTTTGTGACATTAGGAAAGTTTTGATTCGTCATCATCATCATATGCCAAAAGCCTAGAAACCTTGTAAGCTTTTTGCTCTTCGGAAGTTATAAGGTTCATTGTGTTTCCTCCGACTATTTTATCATTTATTGGCTTTTAACTAATTGGTAGCTTTATTTGGTTTCCAGTATTGATCAAGTGAAGCCCAATTTTTCTTTGATTTCTGACTTGTACTACTTTAAGGTAACTGTTTTTTTTTTTTCTTCTTCATTTAAAGGGGTCAAAGGGTTTCACTCCTCCAACTGTTTTTTATGTTCTCGTCATGTTTTGGCGCCTTTATTTCTTAAGCTCTCAATAGCGGTGAAACTGGTTGTTTTTCTTCCCCAGAGCTTTGATCCCATGAGCGATCCCTTTGATGACTGGGAGTGCAAATTTGACGGAATTCTTAGTGATGGCTATGACGAGGACATTGGTAGTGACGATGACGAAGTTACAGAATCAAAAATTAAAGATTTCTTTGATGACAAGGTACTGCTTTGGGTTGTAGTCAAGTAAGCTGTTGTATCTATATTTGATATCTAACTAACTATATTAATTAGTTATAACACGTCATTTAATAAATTCAAACATTAAAACATAAAAAAAAAAAAAAAAAAATCAACCAAAAAGCATTTTAAATTTTTTAAATAATGTGATATAATGTGGTTAGTTAGATACTATTTCGAACCATAAAATTGAATAGGTGATCTGAGTTTGTTTTTTTGTTTTTATTTTTTGTTTTTTTTTTGTTCGTGTGGATATTTACAGTCATGGTTTTGTAGTTTTTGCTTTTCACTTAGAATCATTCCGATTTCTGAATTGAAACTTTGAACAAAATCAGGCTCTAGAGTTGAGGAAACTGCAAACACCCTTGTATGACGAGTTCTACAACAGCTTGAACGCAGCTATTCCAAGGTTTGTTCATGAGTTTCAGTCTCCCAAATGTTGGATGATCGTTGTCTTAATTTGCTCTGAAATTATAATCTGATATTTTTTTTCCACCTTGCATTCTCAGTCTTAACTTTTCTGAGAGACAGAGAAAGTGGAAAGAAGAACTCGATCAAGAGCTTGAGAAAAAGCGAGGTTGATAATTTCTTTAACTTCCTAGTAAATTTGAATCAAACTAGATAATTTATTTATTCAAGTGATAACAACGATATAAAGTTACGTGTTTTGTTTTGTTAAAGTAGTTAAGGTATTGAATGGCTTTGATTTTAGCTAAATACACAAACACATTCTTTTTTTTTTTAAAGTGTACAAATAATATTCTCAATTCAAATTCTTACAAATATTATCGACAAGATTCTTATAAGCTGTGAAATTTTTGCAGAGATGATGCACCAAGGCCAAGCAAGTGTGGGAGTGAAAACATCATCACCTAAAGATGAAGCCTTCATAGGCAGAAAGCGAATATGCAAGTAGAAAAGAAATAGTTCTAGAAGGGACATATTACAAATGTGACTTTTTTGTATGAGAGTTTTTTTTTTCCTTTTTTTTTTTTTTGCTCTGAATATGAGAGATGATTGTTTAGTTCCTTTTCATCATCCACCACAGGCAAATGGATATGATCTTGTTTATTCTTCTCACAACAGTTCCTTTCAGAATATTTATAGGATGTATACTTTGAACAGTAATTTGTTTCCTTTTTTTAATTCTCCCCTTCCTTTCCCCTTCATGCTTATTCAGTTTTTTTTTTTTTTCCCCTTCCACGTACAAAAACTTTTTTTTTTTAATTTATATTCAACATCCTTTTTAATTTGTTTTCTCAGTAGTCTTTCCAAACGGCAAATTAGAGAAAAAAAATGGTATTATTATCTATTTACCTTCATTTTATATTATAAGAAAACAATCTTATGCTTTTACACTTAAAAAAATTAATCATAATAACAGCAGCCAGTGGAGAACACTAACCAAGCAAGAGTGACAACTTTTGCCTTCATAAAATGCAAACTCCAAAAACATTTTCTAACTAGAAACAAGTCACTCCAAATCCTGAATGGAAATTCTTTAAATGCCGTACAATAAGTTTTATTGAATCATTGTTTATTTTCGAAGCTCACAATACATGAGAAATTGAGAGATGAATGAAGAGTGAACATTCTATTCCTAGGTAAAGGGGTGCCTTTTTTATTCACCCAGTTTAACATACAGCTCTAACAGAATAATACAATACTAATAGAACAAATTGCAATAGTATAGAAAAGAATGCTAAGCGAAAATAAGATATATTTAATTACTTTCGTTTCCCCTTTTCTTTTGGCTTTGAAGAGAAAATCAGGCTGGGGCAGCATCGTACCAAACGCAAATTGGATGGTCAAACCTTGCAAGGTTGAATTGCAGCCTGACTTTAGTCTTGAAGACGTTTGAATTTTTCGACACACTGAAGCCCCAAAGTGGGGCAACTCTATTTTGTTTCCGAGCCCCGCTCCGACGGAACAAAGAATACTACAGCAGTTCAGGCCAACAAGCAGTCCAACATATTCTCCTCAACTTTGCTATGGTTTGCCAATTAGCTAACGTGTAAGTGCGGTAAATCTGGAGGATTGGGAGTGATCAGATTTGCCCACAAATTCGCGAGCTTTAGCAAGTAGTGCCCCCCATCCCAAACCACCATTTTGTTGCCTGATGCAGATAAATGAATAGATAGAGATTCGTCTAAACAAATTACAATATAGTTGATGAAAAATATTAAAGGACGTTGAACAATGGACTGAAATATATAAAAAGATCAATATCCACATACCTGGCACAATTCCTGCCGTTAACATTGACAGCCGACAGAGAGGTTGATTTCCAGAGAAAACATGGTTTTGGAGTGCAAGTGCATCAAGATCATGGATATACTTCATAGACTCCAATAGCTCCTTCAAAGTTCCATCAAACTTGGTATCGATTTGTTCTGAGATACTCTGAAGAGCTTCATCCAGCCCAGAAGTTGACCAGAGAGTAGTACATTCATTTAGAAGAAAAAACAAGCTAACGGGTTCCACTGTATATAACAACACCCATGGCTTGTAAAGTTTGGCAGAGGCTCCAATAACTTGAACGACCCTGTAAATTTCTCCAAGAGCAATGATATATCGGATGCCTGGATATTTCCACAAAAAAGTAAAATAAAATAAACAATAGCATTTTGGACATAATATATAACAAGGATGCATATTCAGTGATGTTCTTCTCATTACCTTGAGGTTCAGATAAAAATCGAACCTGGACGTTCTTTTGCAATGCCTGCTTCCAGATAAGGGCACCATGTTTCAGCTCTTGAGCACATACGGAGACTATTTTGGACCATGTGGAAACATAAGCAGATTGCTCCTCCACTGATCCCAATTTAAGAATCCTTAGCGTTGATGTCACATGTTTCAAGAGTTCAACAACTGATCCCAAATCTTTCACCGCCTATTCAATCCAAAATGCTGACTGATATCAAGCCAAAGGTGCTTCCAACACAAGAAAATCAAACATTCAAATGGAAAATATAAAATACCAGTTTTACAACACTTTCAGTTTTTATTTAAACAGAACTCTAATTCCTTCATAAGGGCTTTACTGAAAGATTTGAATTGCAACAATAAACCTGTCGCACTTAGAATGATTATAATACTTTTATATGTGTTCATTATCACCCTCGGTTGATATTCATGTGATGTCTAATCCAAGTAGTTGTTATTGTCCATGTAATTTTTACCAAACATTACCACAGAATCTATACGGAGCTCGGTGTTAAATATATGAACTTGACTGCTAAAGGAAATAAGGCAAGGTTTAAACAACACCTAAGCTTCCATTTTCCATCAGTTCACAATGACTAAAGCAAAGCAAGCATACAAGTTTAAAAAACAACATATTTTATGGTCCTCAATCAGATGAGCAGGAAGACGCATACCAGCGACAACTGATTTGATAAATGATATTCAGATTCAAGGACTTTGAACTTTGGTTCCTCCAGAACTTTGAGAAGCTCGCTAAGATTCTCTGACTCGTATTCTGAGATCATATCTTCCTGACACAGTTGATCGTGGAATTTCTACAAGAGGACAAAAAGGTTAGAAACCAAAGAAGACCGCTCATTAAAAAAAAATTTTAAAAAAAGAGCCTATATAGTTCAGTTCCATTATTTAATTCTCTGAATCAGTATGTCAGATCTCAGAACAATATTGTTGATGGAACTTGTTCGAGTTCAACAATTGACCTTAACAATTCAACAATAAAAAGTCGAATCACATTCCTCCATTTTACATTCTAAAGCCATTAGCAAATATAAGTTCCAAAACAGCCCAAAAATGTAGTCGTCAAAAAGTTCAGTTACACTCACATATTATATATGAACACAACTAATTATTTTAAAAGATGGAATATAACTTAAACAGCTACCAACCTGGATTTCCTCACCAAGAGCTTCCAATTTTAATTCTTCACCAGAAACACTATCAGTACTTCGAGTTCTCTAACAAAATTCATATTTTCACAAAGTTAGGACTGTTCACACTTGCAAAATATATGAAGATCAGAGGAAGTTCACCAACCTTTAAATTTCCAAAGTGGTTGATAGCGACAACACGAGAGCCATCCTTCAGTTTGCAATATAAATCCACATAATCATGCAACTCCAACTTGGTAGAATATTTACTAGTTGCATCTTCAAAATGAGTTGCAAAAGATTGGTCTTCAGCTTTAAATTCAAAAGAGGCGTCCTTGAATTCCCAGGACTCATCATCAAAATCATCATCATCATGGACAAAATCAGATTCGAATTCTCTTGTGGTAGAAGGCGTCCCATTTTCACTTACTTTTGGTGTACCATTTAAAGAAGTGCTCTGCTGAGCTTGACTGTATAAACTCACTATTAGATCATTGATGGATAAATTAGATCCAGGAGCTTTATTACTATTTCTTGTATAGGAGGCAGGTTTATGAATGGAAACATCGGTTTCCACTTCTTCCTCACCAAAAATAGACAAAGGCAAGGATTCCTGGTGACTCTCTGACTTTATTTCACTCCCCTGAATAATAGAAAGGAGAACGGTGAGAAAATTGGAGAAGAGGAAAGGGCTGCTGATAAAGAGTATAAACCGTCATCAGACTTAACAATCTGGTGAATGGTAACCACTAAAAATCTTCAAAGACCGGCTCAGAACAGGGACATTTTCAGGTTATATGGAGAATATTCAAATCTACTCCACCAACTCATCATAAATTGCCAAAACTTCAAAAGACAATGATTTGTAGAGCCAGCCGCACATTGACTTCTTTTTTCGATTATTATCACTGGTGCCCCCTGAACTTTGAGGTCATTCCCAGTTTGCCCCCAAACTTCGAAAACTCACTTTACCCCCGGAATTTTGGATTAGTCCCATTTAAGCCCGTTTGTAAGGGTTTTTGGAAAATTAGATTGGGAAAAAAAGGGGTAAGTGATCACTTTACCCCCGGAATTTTGGATTAGTCCCATTTAAGCCCGCGTTTGTAAGGGTTTTTGGAAAATTAGATTGGGAAAAAAAGGGGTAAGTGTGGTCATGTGGTTTTTATTCGTTTGCTTTTAACAGATATCCAAACAAATTCACAAAAAGACCATGTAACTGCATTACTCTCTTTTTTTCTATCTATTTTTATCAGAAATTCCAATAGAAGGGGTTAAGTGGGAACAATTCAAAACTCATGGGACAAAGTGAGAGTTTTTAAAGTTCAAGGAGCAAACTGAGAATAACCCCAAAGTTCAAGGGGCACCAGTGATAATAATCCTTTTTAGATTCTTTTATTAAATGAGCTAAGCGTATATACTACAATAAATTTTTTTACACAAACATTGTCATTTTACATAAACAAGCTAGTAAATTTTATTACACAAACATTGTCATTTTTCATAAACAAGCTAGTAAATCAACTAAGTTGAGATAAATAAGGACACAATATCATCCTTTAACATGGCTGCCAATCTCTCAAACTCCAATCCTATTTTCTTATTAAAAAAAAAAAGTGTAAAAAAGGCATCACCTGATTTGCAAGATCAAATGCGGGTGGAATTATATTGGCAGAAGGATCAGGAGAAACTGCGGGCTCTCCCTACAGCAGAAGTAAAAAAGTTGAGCAGGCTCATTCTTCAAAAATCTTGAACGTTGGAAAATAAATTCACTAATAAATCAAGCCAAATTGTTATCTCACCTCATTCTTCAATCCAGTTTCTGAAAATGCATTACTAAATTCCCAAAAATTGTCATCAGATTGACCATGCCTATTATCTGGGGAAAACCTCCCGCCTTTTCCAGTATGATTGCTACTAGAATGTGTATATGTTACAACACCATTTCCAGCCATGGGACTAGAGTTGAAAGCAAACGCTACATCCCATTCCTGGGGTTTGTGAAAAGTCCCCTCAGATGCAGCAAAAAAATTGGTGGGACCATGAGGGTCACCACCATCTAATGCTTGACCTTCTAGATTTGATGGAGCAGCAACCTTAGCTGCTTCCTGAAACCAAAATTTAACTATCAACGAATTATTCTAAATAATGCAAACAACATCCAAGAAACGAAATGTGAAATCCAGGTAAAAACAACGCACCGAATTAGACACTATTCCAGCTTCTGAAAATGCGTCTTTAAATTGCCAAAAGTTTTCATCAACATTACCATTCTCACGAACTGAAGGGAAATTTGACCTCGTTTCCACATCATTTTTCTCGCTTTTGGAGTTTGAATCCCACAAATTATCTTGAGTCACAGAACTTCGATTGAAATCAAACACAAAGTTCCAATCATTAGTTCTATGAGGGGTATCATCTGATCGAACTGACATATCAACAGGACCATTTGCCTCATTATTGAACCCAATTGTAGGTCCAGGTTCCTCAATGTTTGACCTTTCTCCGCCATCAACCTTCAAAATTTGGAACTGTCAGATTTAGTGGACCAATTACTAACACAAGCATGTTCCTAAGCCTAGTAGCAACCGAGCTACTAAAAAATGTGCGCATGTAAAGGCAAAATCTTGTTGCAAACAACATAACACAATAGAAAAAAGAAACTTAGCTCTGCATTTCCAAGAATATCTTAGTAATTTGACACAAACACATGAAGCATTTAGTAGATAATAAAATGATCAAAATATGCCTGCCTGAATTTCCTGGTCTTTCCCCGAAATTGTTTCCACCTTCGGTCCAGGCAATTCAACAGCCCCTTGTTCCTGATTCAGGCAATACAAAGAGCCAATGAGTAACGATAAATCAAACGAAAAACCTTCACTGCTTGATATTGCGTCTTATAATGTTCAAACACCAAGATCGTAGCTTTATTGCACCTGTCATTGCTATCCAACTACATTTGGACCATTTCGAAAACAATTTTAAACCGAAACTTCATACTTATGTCCATTTCCTCAGTTTCTTAGCATCCAAAAACAGGAAAGTGGAAACCATATACCAAAACGTTCAATCAAATAACAATGAAATTCCAGCTTCAATCAGAATTCTCATATCCTACCTGTTTGTCAGCGCAAGCTCCTTTAAATTCCCAACCATCATCGTCTTCATCATCATCATTATCAAAATTCTCACTTTGTTCCACCAAATCTGAACTAAATCCATTGAAATTGGAAGTCATGACCGTAATATTAGAACCCAAATTGTTTGAATTCTGATTGGCATCATGAAAAGAAGAATCGAATCCATTTTGATGCCACTTCGACGAACTTGCGCTCGATCTCAGGCCATCAACACTCGCACCAGATTCATTCGAATTCGAATTCGCTCCATTCACATTTGAATTCACATACGATCCATTCTGAACCTTGATCTGCTGGCTCTGACTATACAAATTCGCAAGCAAATCGCTGATCCCGACTCCGCCATTCAAACCCGAGCCCTTCTTCGCATCATCACCATCGTTCCTGCGAAAGAAGATCGGCGCACCATCACCAACCGTAGGCTCGCCCGCACCAGATTCCTCCTCCTCCTCCGTTTCTCCGAACAAAGATAGCGGCAGAGCTCCCCGAGGTTTCACCCAACTCGGCGCCTCCGATTCGCCCCGAGTCGCCGCCGATTCGTCGTCCACCGAGTTCCCCAAAGGAGATTGGCCGTTGGTTCCGTTGAAGAGCTCAAATCCAGTTTTGATCTGATTTGAACGGGTGGTTACGAAGTCGCCCCAATCGTCGTCGGAGAAGGAATCGCCGCCGCTGGTGTTTGAACTAGAATTGATTGTGGTGGTTGTGGCTGGGGCGACACTAGGTTGCGTTGAAGCGAATTTGAAGTCCCCGAAGAAATCGTCGTCGTCGTCGTCCGCCATAGCCGAGGAGCTCTGGAGTTCGCTCTCTGTTTCTCTGCTCTGGTTATTTTGGTTATGGTGCGCAGGTTTGGGGCACGTGCGCGTGCGGTACACTTTAGCGGGTAATGGCGATTCAACGTGGATTTGGGACCCACCAACCACAGCTAACTAGCTAAGCACCTTTTGTGTTCGGATCTTTTGCGTCGATCCGTGGGGGGATTGACCCGACTGGTCTTCTATCAATACACTGAAAAAAAAAAAGAGAGAAAATTAGGTAAATGGATGTTTTTTTAATATCTTTTTAATAAATGGTTGAAATTTTAAGAAGTCAATCTGACCAATAGTCATTAGTAATTGACATATTTATTATCATAATTTATTAAAGATTTATTATTAATAAACATGTAATTTATTAATTAAAATTAATTAAAATTAATTTTAATTATTTATTAATAATGAAAAATTATCGAGTTAATCAATAATAAATTTAAGTCAATTAGTGATTTACCTCTAATTAATTAGTGATTCACTATTTAGTTAATAAAATAAACTACCATTTTACTAATTTTAAAAAACTTCGAATACTTTTAAAAAAAAAATCCTTAAAAAGAGCCATTTGTAATTGTCTCTATATTCCAAAAATAAGTTTTAATACATGTGGGTATGATTAATTGGTAAAGGGAAATATAATTAATTAAAACAAAATAGAATTTAAATTTTGAAAAGTTAAAAGAAAAAAAAAAAGGTCATAAATGCTTCCTCGTTGTCATTGTTGTGTTTTACCTCTAAACTTTTGGCTAAATCTCGGTTCAAAATTTTTAAAAATCTCTTAAAATGAGTTTCTCATCTATAAAACAGTTTTGAATCAGTCTAATCAAGGAAATAGTCCAAATTAATCCTTTTGTCCTTAAAATTTCAATGAAAAGAGGTACTTGACGGGTATGTACATTTTGATGGGAGCTAATTTTATAACTTTACATGTTAGATCATAACTGTTAAGAAAGTCGAGTCTCTTCTGTTGAATTTTTAATAGTAGGATAAGAGGAATGGATAGATTTGTAACATGTTAGGTTAAAGACTTGTTTGAGAAAACTTTTGCAGATCTTAACATTTTTCTCAATATACATATAAAAAAAAGTCTCGAATTATAAAGAAAAAACACTATCAAAAAGCATCCGGTCCGCGCAGCGGGACACACATGAGCCAGGATGAGTCAAACATTAACATTTTTATTTATGTTTCATATTCTAAAATTAATGCATGATTTTTAGGAATTAATGCAACAAGCGGTACCATTTTTTGATGAATATTCTATTTTTTATGATTTTCCCTATTCTTCATCTTTGAAAATTAAAATAAAATAAAAACGACGCTGGAAAGTTCTAAAATTTTACAGACACGATCTTAACATTTTTCTCAACATGCCTGCAAAAAATGGTCTCAAATTACGAAAAAAGAAAACGTTGTCAAAAAACACCTGTCCCGCGCAGTGGGGCGCACATGAGCCAATATGAGTCAAACATTAACACTTTTATTTATATTTTACATTCTAAAATTAATACATGATTTTTAGGAATTAATGCAACAAGCGGCACCATTTTTTTTATGAATATTATTTTTTTTTATAATTTTTCCTATTTTTCGTCTTTGAAAATTAAAATAAAATAAAAATGATGTCAAAAAGTTCTAAAATTTTGTAGACACGATCCTTACCTTTTTCTGAGCATGCTTGCAAAAAATGACCTCAAATTATGAAAAAAGCAAACGCTGCCAAAAAGCATCCGGCTTGCGCAGTGGGGCGTCCAGGGGCCAGGATGAGTCAAACATTAACATTTTTATTTATGTTTTACATTCTAAAATTAAATACATGATTTTAGGAATTAATGCAACAAGCGGCACCATTATTTGATGAATATTCTATTTTTTATTATTTTCTCTATTTTTCATCTTTGAAAACTAAAATAAAAACGACACCCAAAAGTTCTAACATTTTGCAGACACAATCCTAACATGTTTCTGAACATGCCTGCAAAAAATGGCCTCGAATTATGAAAAAAGAAAACCCTGCCAAAAAGCACCCGGCCCGCGTAGCCCGCCTAAGAGCTAGGATGAGTCAAACATTAACATTTTTATTTATGTTTTATATTCTAAAATTAATACATGATTTTTAGGAATCAATGCAAAAAGCAGCACCATTTTTTTATGAATATTCTATTTTTATGATTTTCTCTATTTTCGTATTTCAAAAATAAAATAAAATAAAATAAAATAAAAACGACGTCAAAAAATTCTAAAATTTTAGAAACACGACCCTTACATTTTTCTAAAACGACGTGTCATTTTCTTCCAATGTAAAATAACGTGTCGTTTTGTTTTCAAAAAGATGGCGTGTCGTTTTATCTCAATGAAAACGATTTGTTGTTTTAGATTCACGGAAAAATGACTTTTTGTTTTGTTTCAAGTCAGAAATGATGTGTCATTTTTCATACGTAAAACGACGTGTTGTTTTAGTTGTAACAAGAAACGACGTGTCGTTTTGTTTCCCAGGTAAAACGACATGTCGTTATGGTTCCTTCAGAAATGACGAGTTGTTTTTCTTCATATGTTAAACGACGTATCGTTTTGGTTATCTTTTAAAATGACGTCTCGTTTGTCTTCCCATGTAAAAATGACGTGTCATTTTGTCTCCCAAAAAATGACGTATCGTTTTTCTTCCAATGTAAAATGACGTGTCGTTTTGTCTCAAAAAAATGACAAGTCGTATTGACTTCAAAAAACTACATGATATTTTGCTTCTCATGTAAAATGATGCGTCGGTTTGCTTCCCATGAAAAATGGCGTTTCATTTTGCTTGAAATAAGAAACAACGTGTCGTTTTGGTCAATATCTAAAACGACGTGTCGTTTTGGTTCCCACGTAAAATAAGGTGTTGTTTTTGTTCCAACAGAAATGACGCGTCATTTTTCTTCACATGTAAAACGATGCGTCGTTTTCTTTCCCAATTAAAACGAGGTGCCGTTTTGCTTCCTATGAAAAAATGACGCGTTGTTTTGTCTTCCAAAAAATGATGTGTCGTTTTGTCTAAAAACAATGACGTGTCGTTTTGCTTACCATGAAAAAATGATGTGTCATTTTGTCTTCCAAAAAAGGACGTGTCATTTTTCTTCCAATGTAAAATGACGTGTCGTTTTGTCTCTAAAAAATGACATGTCATTTTTATTGATGCGTCAAAACGACGTCATTTTAAAAAATACAAAAAACTTTGACTAGCAACATGACATGTCATTTTTTTTTTATGCTTGAAAACAACGTCATTTTGAGAAAAACAAAAAATACTTTCAAGAGCGAAATTTTTGGTTATAAAAGCAACGTCGTTTTAACAAAACGACAAAAAATTCTATTTTTTATGATTTTCTCTATTTTTCGTATTTCAAAAGTAACATAAAATGAAAATGACGTCAAAAAATTATGAAATTTTGCATACATGATCCTTACATTTTTCTGAACATGCTTGCAAAAAATGGCCACGAATCATGAAAAAAAAAACGATGTAAAAAAGCACCTGACTCGCGCAGTGGGGCGTCCACAGGCCAAGATGAGTCAAACAATAATATTTTTATTTATGTTTTACATTCTAAAATTAATACATGATTTTAAGGAATTAATACAACAAGCGGCACCATTTTTTGATAAATATTCTATTTTTATATTTTCTCTATTTTTTGAATTCCAAAAACAAAATGAAAACAACGTCAAAAAATTCAAAAATTTTGCCGACATGATCATTACATTTTTCTGAGAATGCCAACAAAAAATGGCCATGAATTATGAAAAATGAAAACGCTGTCAAAAAGCACCCGGCTCGCGCTATGGGGCGCCCAGGGTCCAATATGAGTCAAACATTAACATCTTTATTTAAATTTTACATTCTAAAATTAATACATGATTTTTAGGAATTA